TTTGAGCCTGGGCCCTGGGCAGCAGCTGGCCCTAGATGGGGGCCATTCGCTTCCCTGCTTGCGCCTTTGGTCTGCCCAGGTACCAGCTTTCATCTGCAGAGTGCTGATCTGATGTTGCCGGTTCAGCTGGTACCCACCGATGGACAGCTGTGATGCAGAGCACTAGTCTGAACCAGGCTCAAATCGGTGTCACGGATCAGAGATTTTCTGTGCCCTGGCCGAGATGGCTGAAACCGGCTTCATGTTTTCTCCGTCACACTCGTCTCTGCCAAGTGCAGTTTTCTCTGCTGAATTGTTTCATATGTTGGAGTAATTCTGGATCCAAACGAGTGTTCAAATCAATCTGGTTTGATTCTTTCACTTCAATTCTTTTTTTTCTTTTCCTTTTTTTTTTTTTTTTTGCAGGGAAGACCTGAAGCCGGGAAAGATGATGGCTGGAGGTCTGCCCAAGAAAGTGGAAAAAAATAATAAAATACTGTATTTTAACTTTTAGAATACTATATTTAGTTACCACGTTTCTGACCTCAAGTGAAATACCTATACAGCATCTTCATTTTTGCAGAAAACAGTGTAAAACTGGACTGTGTAGTTCCTTCAGCTTGGATCTGTGGCTGATGCTCTTGACTGATGTGCTGTTACTGTACAGTAAGTGGTCAGGGACTCAAGATAGGTCCTGGGTCATAAGTCAGAGGTGAGATTTAAAGTTACCTGATGGGAGTTAAGCCAGTCCAGGAATCGGCTAACTCTGCCAATTTATATTTTTAGATGCATCCATGCCCTCACACACAGGATTTTATTCTCAAGCAGATTCTGGAAAGGGAGTGGGAGACATGTTTGGATTTTTTCTGAAAGGATTTAGTAGGTTTCCTTCCCAACCGTCTCACCTGTTTTCTTCCCTTCCTTCCCTTGGTTGAAAAGTAAAATTTTTTTTTTTTTCTTCATAAAAAAGAAGGTATTAACCTAAAGCGTTGAAGAAAGATTTTGCTATTGCAAAATGAAGACGGTGGTAGTGTATCACAATTGTATGTTGTTGAGGACTGCAAACCTTGCCTTTAACACTCGGGCATGTTCTAGAATTTAAAAAAAAAAAAAAAAGAAGAAGAAGTAAAAATTGAAATTGTTACCAAAGATCCTTGAGTCTGTTGCTTGGCCTGTGTGGATTGCCAGTGGCAATCCCTCCGCTTGATAACAGCTGACTGGTGTGAACAGGAGGAGGAGGAGGCGTGTGTGTCAGTGGTGACTGCTCTTGGCAAAAACAAAGTAATGCTTAATATTTCGCAAGTGGGACTTTCCGGACTTGTTTCTAGATCCTACCTCCATCTGCCTCAGAGGCAAACACTCTGCTGTAGCAATAAATGGACGTGTTAGTCCAGTTGAGAAATTCTAAACATGGTGAAATGGTTGAAAATAGCTGTGAAATGGGATTTTGCAGAACAGAAACTTGAGATGGAGAGATCTGTTTGATCGCCAGACTCGGCGCTGTCCTCAGCAAAAGCTTGAGATAGTCTTTCAGTGGAGGGTCTGTCCCACAAGATATTTATGGGAAATTGGTGGTTGCATCTGAAGCTAGTTGATAAGAAGACAGAATGGTGAAATGCTGTAATTTGCCTGAGTGAAGGAATGCTATCATGGTGTGCTATTCCCTCCTGCTTAAGGCTTTGGAGGAAAACTGTGACATCATATTTTACTGCTGCTGGTTCGTTATAATAGAATAGATTCCTGTCTGCTGTGACCTTGCCATTATGGACTGGGCCAGCATGAGGTTTCCAGTGAGATCTGGCGGTTACATTGTTTAGAAAAGCCGCCTGAATTAGAAGAAATTAGAAGTTGTGCCCATGTATGTAGATCAGTGAGTTCCCTCTGAAGATGCAGCATCTCTTGCGCGTTGCTTTCAAGCTTAGAGGTCAGCTTGAAAGGCCTGTATATTCAGGGCCACCTTTGCAAGGAAAAGGAGCAACACATTTACTTTTTACAGTGGCATTTTAAATTTTTTTTTTTTTTTTTTTTTTTTTTTACATTTCTAGAATCCCTTAGTCGTGCAGGTCCTATGGTGATAGGAGATCAATGCACAGATTTCTAGTTACAGCATTTGTATGTTGGTTCTATAAGCGCAGACAGAGGAACCAGGCTGGTGAGTGTGTGTGAATGCCTCTGCTTGGGGTCCTACTGGTTAAAAAGGCGGAAATTCACATATTCACTGTGCTATGAATGTACCAAGTTGTTAACTATTGTAATTTCCCCATTCTTTCCTGAGTGTACTAGATTGTAGCTAAGGATTCAAATTCGGCACCTTCCAGAAGGGCTCCAACACTACTTTCTTGGAGCAGGAGAGAAAACATAAAATAATGGGGCACTCAATAACTGGAAAGAAATGCCAATGCCTTATTTTAAGTACCCGAATGGCTGTATGCACAAGGGACTGTGTGTGTGCTTTAAGTTAGAAACGTTAAGCAATTTCTACACAGAAGGAAGGTGCTATGATTTGCCCCCAGCAGAGCTTTCCCATCCATCAGTGGACATGTCTGATATCAAGGGTGCTTTCTAGCCCCTAGCAGGAGCCTCTTCTAGTGAATTGAATTCATGAATGATATTATCACAGCTGCAAGTGGAATTTAGATGTTCATAAAAGTCCTTTGCACAGTACTTTGATGTCCGTGAAAAACTAGCTAGAGCCCTATGGCCTGACATTTCCACTTGGAAAGGAACTCAGTTCTTTGGTATTTTTAACACAAAGACAAGAGAAATCTTTGTACTTGTGCACCTCATGAAGAAAATCCCTTATCAGAAAAGTGTCTCCTGCATGTCCTGCTCAGGTTGAAGCAAGCTATTTTCGCAAATATTTAGTGTTCAGAAGTAGACTGTTCATTGAAGTTCAGAGTAGCCCATTTACATCCCACTTGGCTGGCTGTCAAGCTAGCTGCTAAAATATATTATGATTCAAAATGTTAAATGCTTCCTCGAAAAGACTGGTGGTTGGAAACCACACTTCAAACCAAGGTCATCAGCATCTTTAAACGGTAAACTTTCCCAGTCTCTAGAGAAAAATAATTACGCACCTTGTTCACTTTTAATGAAGCTGACAGTGCATGGGGAGAACTAGTTCTGTTTATTAGACCTCTGATTTACATGAGAACTAAGACAACGCTCTGAAAGCAGCCATTTATTAAACAGAAATTAAACGTTTGGCTTTTGAAATGTGCCTGGTGATTTGATTCTTTTGGCATAAAATTGATAATTCTCAAAACCTATTTTATTTCAAGCAAAGTTTCAATTGCGTCTTCTAAAGGACTGCAATGTACTGTATCTCAAAGAGCGTTATCAATGCGCTTATGCTTCCAATCTGGTCTGTTCTCAGCTGTTTAATCATAGAGGAATCTACCTTGACTGTCTGTATCTACTTTTGGGGGAGGATTTTTGTTGTTGTTGCGGTTTTTTTGGTGCATTTTTTAAATTTTTCAAATCTATCATTACCTTTTCAGGAGCACAGATTAGTTGATGCAGCAGTTGAAGATAGTCTATGGAAAACTTAATGGTGATATATGTGGACCTTGCTAGTGGCATAGTGCAGAATCAGCTCCTGAGTTACATTCAGGAAGCTAAAAATGCAGTAACTACTGTCTAAGAATTTTACATGCAAAGAACTGAAAGAGTTGTCCAGGGTGTGATGTGATTAGGAGCAGTAGTGGTTCACTTTGTGAAAGCATACGCAAACATCTGATCTAAAAACATCCCTGCCAGATCTCAGTAGGTTGGTGTCGTTGTTGATGCTGGTGAACAACATAAAAAACCCCTCAACCCTTGACCATTTTAAACCCCATGAAGTGAAGGTCCCTTTCAATATTTTTCAGACAGAACTTTTTTCATAAGGAAAGTTTGTTTCAATGGAGAATATACTGAATTTGCCCAGAGTTCACTGAGGGGTGGGGGAAAGAATTAAACTGAAGAATTTTGATTGTGTAGAAATAGTTTTAAATGGTGCATTTTTAAAGTGAAATGTTTTCAACCTGTTTGAAGTCACCTTTGCTTTTTGAAATGCATTTTATTTTATGCAGAAAAGTAATAAAAATAGCTTTAAAAGTGAAACTGGAAGAAAACATTCTGCTTGCCAGTCTCAGAAGGATTTAATTAAGCTCAGCTGAAAAATACTGGCTTACAGAAGAAATTGTAATTAAATGTTCTCTTCTAATTCAGAATAGAGAATGAAATTTGAGATTCTAGAATTTATACAAAAATTCTAGCATCTACACAGGATAAACACAAGGGAGGTGGTTTGCAAAAATTAAAGGACAAAACCAATGGAAGATGAGTTCTTAGTTACAAATTTTTACATGCTTTTGAAGATAAAAGAGTACAGTAATAAACCCCTTTGGCTTGGCCTATAAATTAGTGAAACCTGTGGAGTGATTCCACTGACTTGCATGTGTTCTGGCTCAAGTCCTTCAAAAATTTAGAAGCAATTTTTAATTGAAGTGTGAAGAAGTAAATAAGCTCTGCAGGACCTTCTTGATTAGGATGCCTACTTTGATGAGAAGGATAAAGGCTAGCCTTGAATTTAGAGGATAAATAAGCTGAAATTCCAAAGTGTCCATCAGAGCCTTAAGATCACTGCAGCACTCGTTCCTAATTCTATTCCCTTTTAGGATGTCTTTACATTTTCTTTCACAGTAATACCAGAGGAAGTCTTTGCCCCCTTTTTAATTAACAGCCATCCATCCATTTGGGAATTTGTTTTACAGTGTGGCTCCAGCTGAATGACACAACTAAAGGGGACAGCGAACTGTGGAGTGAGGTTGGAAATGGACAGGTAGCAGTGAGGAGGGCTTCGATGTTTTGAGTCCCGAAGGGATGAAGCATTGTTAGCGTTGTGCCATTACATGTCAATAATGATTAAGTGAACAGGCAGTAGTTACTGTTCATTAATCATTATTTGAACTTCTGCAGATCTGAATCAATTTGCAAACAACTGTAAGTAAAATCTAGGATCCTTTTGTGTTTTCCAGGGTGTGCAGACTTGCATCTTCTGGATATGTTGACGCCTACTGAAAGAAAAAGGCAGGGATACATCCATGAGCTCATTGTCACGGAAGAGAACTATGTAAATGATCTGCAGTTGGTCACAGAGGTAAGACAGCACAGCAGCTTTAGGAGCAGGTTTTATTCACTCATCTTTTTAAATTAAATCCGTAATTTCACTGTTCAAACTCACTTTATATCACTGCCATGTGTGACTTCCTAGGGATGATCTGTATTAAATTTTCATATATATATATTTAGATATATATGCATGTGTGTATTGGCGTGGGTGAAACTAATGCTAAGCCCTTGTGCTACCATCACCAAACACTGATGTTTAAAGTATCATTCTAGTAAACCCTTGTTGCTCTTGATTTTGAATGTTTATTTCTCATGTGTCCGTTCTTAAAGCTTGAAGTGCTTTATGTGCCAGTTTCCACATTCATAGTGGCACTCAGTTATCACTTACTGTAATTTTCTTTACACGTTATAAGGTACATCTCTTATGTGGAAAAAAAGGGAATTTGTACAGGCAACTGACATGGACAATTCTTTTGACAGAGGGGGAAAGCCCTTTTTTGAAAAAGAGGTCAAGCTTGGCAAACTGAGACACTTTGAGATAAATCAGAACTTCCATGAAAGAGTCCAAAGTAAAATGTATTTTAAGTTGTATTCTCAAAGTAGTCCTGGGATGTTTTGCAGGAGACCTCTGACTAAAATTCCCAGGTTTCAAACAGATTTGATAATTAACACCACCAACACAAATTTAGAGTATCCTCTTTTAAAGCCATATGCTGCTCACAAACATATTATCAGGGGACACTATGGATCTGTAGGGCATGGCGCATGTTTGAAGTCTGTTCTGCTGTGTGTTAAGTGCTACTCTGATGTAAAGTTTTCTCACCTCCAAACTAAGGAAGTGAGCATCATCAGTCTTAATCACTTTGATTATATTTAACATATACTTTATAAATTGCTTAACTTTCTGAATCTGTAGATCTTCCAGAAACCACTAATGGAATCTGAGCTGCTAACAGAAAAAGAAGTTGCTATGATTTTCGTTAATTGGAAGGAGCTGATTATGTGCAATATAAAACTACTGAAGTGAGTTATTTTTTTTTTCCCCTCGTACTTAGCAATAACAAAACCATGGGTCTCTCCCCCCATTTCCTTTTAGCTGCATGAAAATATTTGCCACTTATGCAAGTAGTAACCGAAAGGGCTGTGTGTTTTTCCTTGTTGGAAAAAGCAAAGTGTTAACAATGTTTGCTATGACTTGTGGTTGTTGAGAAAAATCCAGAAGTTCTTTGTTGAGTAAGTATTTGCACTTGCTTTGCTCTGGGTGTACACACGTTCCAGAAGGCAAGATCAACCTCTCCTGAAGAGTAGTGCCTGCCAAGGCTACCCACAGTCCTGTCGTAGGCTTTTACTTCCTCTGTCTCTGTCACAGCCCGTACTCAGTTCCAGTCCTGTTATCCATGAGTGCAAAACGAGGCACAACCACCTCTGCCTCCCTTATTCTGAGTTAGCTGACATATTCCTTTAGTTATTGTAGGCTTATAGCACCTGAACGAGCTGCTTTGTGAGAAGCGGTGCCAACAAAGCCTGGTTTCTTATGGATTTGTGTCCGGTGTACCCTGTGCCCTTCCTTCCAAAGTCTCCACGTACTGCAACCATGAAACTCCACGCAGTGCAAGTACCTTTATTTCTCCCTTCATTCTCTGTGGCCTCTGATGGATCCATCTTCCTACGTGCATCCTTCTCACCCATCCCTACCACTTCAGCAAGGCACAGTAAATGCCGTGGCTGGTTTGGAGGCACGTACATGCAGGTTGCTCCTCTGGTCATTGCCAGAGAAACTGAGTAAGGATTGAGTTAAACCTGCATCTTTGTAAGCAAGAGGATTAATAAAATTCCTTTTTTCCCTACTGAGCTGCTAATTTTCATTGAACTTATAGGGATTTGAAAATCTTTTAGGTTGTAAAAGACCCTTAAGATCATCAAGTCCGTAACTTTGAGACATCTCTGTTTTTGTAAAATGTATTTGAAAATGGTTGACAAGTTGGAAAGTTATGACTGTGATAGGGCAAATGCAGGCAGCTCAATGACAATAAACCTCCTTTCCTTAGGAAACCAGGCTAAAATCTTGAAGTAGCTTTGAGCTTAAAGAACGAGGGATAAAAACCTTACCTCTACAAGAGCATATCAGTTACTGTCTTTCTAAACTAATGAAAAAGGAAATCACATTCCTTTTTGTATTGTGTCTGATCTGGCATTGCATTAAGTTAATGTCAAATAACAGTTGGTGACCAGAAGAGAGAAAAATGTTGTTGGCTGAGGGTGCAAGCTTGATTATTGTATTCTTAAAATGTGCAATAAATCTAGTGGCTGATTTATTTATTATTCAGGGGTCTCTTTATCGGAGTAATGAATAAGAACCAAACCATTTATTTCCTAAACGAGGAATCATTCTTTAGTGGTCTACTTATAAAACACACACAACCTTTTCATGTTTAGGGCTTTGCGTGTGCGTAAGAAGATGTCTGGAGAGAAGATGCCAGTGAAAATGATTGGTGACATACTGACGGCACAGCTGCCACACATGCAGCCTTACATTCGATTCTGTAGTTGCCAGCTCAATGGGGCGGCGCTCATCCAGCAGAAAACAGATGAAGTCCCTGAGTTCAAGGAGTTTGTTAAAGTAAGAAAAGAAGCAATCACCATGAATTTTGTACACCGTAAATTCAACTCATCATTTCGCTAATTTGCAAAACATAGTCTCAAATAGTGCTCTGTGTTGGGCTAGAATGAAGAATCTTCAGACTTAAGCAGTCATTGAAGGAGTACATTTTTTCAAACAACTGTAGAGCCATAAAATAATTCTGTTTAATATTGGGTTTGCTGTAAAATACTGGGACAGTAAGAAACAGTGAGTACTGGGAGAGTAAGAAGAAGCCCTTCTCAAGGCAGGTGAAGAATATATTTTAAAAAAATACACGAAATTCTCCTGCACTGACATTCTTTGTGATCTAAGAACAGATTCAGCTGAGGCATGATGTTCATTTGTTGCCTTACCTTTTTCTTTCTTGGAGGAGCTCATTTTGCAGGGTTTTAAACAAACTGACTAACACCATTTTACCTCTCTAATGTTTCAGAGGTTAGCAATGGATCCTCGCTGTAAAGGAATGCCACTATCAAGTTTTCTACTAAAGCCTATGCAACGGGTAACCAGATACCCACTAATAATTAAAAATGTACGTTCTTTTGCAAAGATGATGTTTTTGATGCTGCTTTGCTTATAGCTTAATTACAGGGCAGTTTGTGTCAAGCTTTGTCACTGTTAGATATCTGATGTGCTAGGGAACACAGGGGTATCCTTTTATATTTGATCACACTAGAGCAAATGTGGTAACTCATCTGGCATCAGCGAAATGACTCGTTATTTCCGTTAGAAACAGAGGTGAAACTTGCACACAAAGAACCAGAAGGTAGTAAATGCTAAATGAAAACTTTAATATTCAGATAACAGGAGGAACGGGTCAACCTTATGCTCTTCTTTGCCTTTTTTCCACGGTGTTATTCCCTCCACAGTCTGGTAAATGACGTTCAGTGTGCAAGCCTGAATGCCAATTTGTTGCAAGTTACCTTACTGTGCAGCTTATGTTGCTGGATAACTTACAACCCTTTCCTAACTTTCATTTGCTGCCTAACGCTTACCATCCTGAATAATGCTATTGAATTTGGCCCAGGACTTTCTCAGGAAAGATTTACAAATTGGATGTTGGCATTTAAGAGATTCCTTAATAGGTCGTGGATATATTTCTGTATATGGCTGGAATTTGCAAACTTATGTCAGAAGAGTGAGCAGTGTGCTGACGCAAAGGATCTGCAGGCAGGCGTTCATTTTGTCTGTTCACAAACAGACTGTGAATTTGTCTCCTATTTTTCATGTTTATCGAGGAAGAAAAGAAATTCGGAACACACTGGCTGGCTCCGATGAAAATAAAGACATAAAACAGAAGTGTGGGGCTGACAATATAAATACATTTTAACTGCAGATAACAGAAAAGGCTAATGTCTTGTATTTATCTGTAGATAATAGAAAACACTCCGGAAAACCACCCAGACCACAGTCACTTGAAGCATGCTCTTGAGAAAGCAGAAGAATTATGTTCTCAAGTAAATGAAGGAGTGCGGGAGAAGGAAAATTCAGATAGGCTGGAGTGGATCCAGGCTCACGTTCAGTGTGAAGGCCTGTCGGAGGTAAACAAAGTGCTATCTAGAGTAACGCAAATGTGGGTGCGCTTCTCCACCGGTCGGGAAGAAACCATGGCTCACTTTTGGCACTGCATCAGGGGACAAACAGTGTAATTAATCAAGTCATACAATCTTCAATCCTTTGTTTTCATCTTTCTTTGGCTCCCTTTCACTCCTGCACGTAATCCTTTTTGCTGCTCGTGTTATTGCCTTCTGTATGATAAATGCTGCTTTTGTTGCCTGCCTCTGGATGAATGCCAGGTTTGATGCTGCAATTTTCAACCACAATTTTCCGGTTTCATAGCTCTTTACAATACACTGCTTATTGTACTGCTAGATCTCATCCTTAGCTATACCTGACCATCCTGGAGTGCTTTAAAACTCATCACAGAAAATATTTTTTGTGACAAAACCTTGTATACATTTTGAAAGCTCAAGACTACTGATCAAGTCTCTCTCAAGACTTTACAGAGAGAATCACTGCCTCCCATTACATATTATTTTTTATGGTAACATGCTAAGTTCCTCTACTGCAACTATAATGAAAATATTGTATTGGTATGTCCTGCAAAAGGATGGAGGATATTTTGATGGCCTCCCTATTATTGGTGAAGATAATAGAGGCAAGCAGATCACAACTTGATTTTCACAGTATGCATTGAGTTTTCAGTTCTAGGAGATAAAAAATAATAAGCACTGGTTGGTTTATAAACTGGAAAACATTGCATTTCATCTCGTGAAATCTAACTGTTTCAGGGGAAAGACAGGCATGACAATTTTAGAAGGGTCAAAGTCATGTTCAGCTGTCTTATAACTGCTGCAAGATGGCTGCTTTTATCTTCTGTACGTGTTGTCTGGCCCTAGAACACCAAAAATAATACCTGAAAGACCAGCTGACTGCTTGCTGATATGGTAACACCAGTAGCAGCCTTGAATCTGTGGCAAGGGGCGGTGCAGCCTTCCCCTGGTTTTCTGGCTGTGATGTTTCTAATCTGTAAAAGGAGCCACTCCAGATCTAGCTGCTTGACCAGCTAGGATGGCAAGAACCTTACCATCACCTAGTGAAAATAAACCTGAAAATGAGGCTTTAGGAAAGTGCAAGCCTCTACTCATATGGTAACAACCTCCAGATGAGTCTTAAATTCTGCCAGTTCCAGCCACTAGTCAGCAGCTGTCCCATAACTCCAGGTATTGGGGGTACACACAGACAGGCTATCTGGAATTCTTTTGGTATGTTTTAATGGGTGAAATTCCAACACAATTCAGAAATCCAGTTAAGAAAGCTCAGCGTTTGGAGAGGCCATTTGCATAGCTCTTGCTAATCCAGGACAAGTCATCATCAGCCGAGTTCCACTCACAGAGGTGCATGCGTGTGGCAGAGCAACTCGAAAGGAGGCACAAATGCTTTTGGCTTTGCTCCAACTGTCCAGGACATGCCCTGTGCAACCGATGGGCTGCCTTAAACTTAATTTTCATCTAGCATTTCTATGATTTGCACCGCTTATCATGCGCAAGGCAGAGACATTGCTCGTCATCCCTGTGACACAAATTAAAACCAATGTCAGGACTCAAAACTATATTTGGTCTCTTTCAGGGGAACCTCGATTGTTTTACTTTATACAGTGCGTTGTTGTTCTTCTTCTACTTTTCGCAGCAACTCGTATTTAATTCTGTTACAAACTGCTTGGGACCACGCAAGTTTCTGCACAGTGGGAAACTCTATAAAGCCAAGAGTAACAAGGAACTGTATGGCTTTCTGTTCAACGATTTCCTCCTCCTGACTCAGATCATAAAACCTCTTGGCTCCTCTGGCACAGACAAGGTCTTCAGCCCCAAGTCTAATCTACAATACAAAATGTACAAAACTGTAAGTACCACTCTTAAATGGCAACTAGGACGATTATATGCTAACAGTGCATATAGCGGGCAGCAGCTGCTGTGCTGGATGTGTAGGCAATAGCCTTTATATAGAAGAGCTTTGAAAGCTTTAGCATAGGCTGGGGATTCCAGGGGCTGATGGTGAGAAAGCCGGTGGTTTGCTTTAGCGAGATAAGAGAAGACACTTTTGAATTTTTGCTAAAATAACCTCTCCAACAGAGGTGACATGTATCAGGGAGTGATGGGGAGAGTAGTGTTTGCTGCTTTTTGTGGGAAAGAAGAGATTGCTGTGCTTCATGAGGCTGCTTTCTGACTTCAGGAGAAGTGTTCCCAGACTCTGGAGGCACCTGTGTCTTTGATAATAAGAAAATTCCAAAAATGGCATATCTAAAGAAAGATGGGAGGCAGGCAGAAGGGGAGATACTGCAGGCACAAGATAAATCTGTTCTAAATTGCTCTGTGTTGAATGCATCTGTTTGGATATTGTGTGGTAGAACTCTAGCTTTGCCTAATGTTTTACAGCCCATTTTTCTAAATGAGGTACTAGTAAAATTACCCACAGACCCTTCTGGAGATGAGCCCATCTTTCATATCTCCCACATTGACAGAGTCTATACACTCCGGGCTGAAAGCATTAATGAAAGGTAAGTACCTGCATGGGTCATGTTAGTACTGAATTTGAAACGTCTGGTGCAAATGTATTTGATGTACACGTGCGTAGCAGTCTCCGAGCAGTTTATGTTACAAGACTGGAGAATTCCTTCTGCTCGAGAATACGGTGATACTGAAGCTATGAAAAGGAGGGAGACATAATGATGTTTCCTGAATTCTGATAAGACCAACAGTGAAATGGCTAGGAGGGCCGATATATTGGCTATATTTCACAACATTTTATGTTAGCATATGGAAGCCAAAAGATGCCATCCTATCTTCTTCTGTTAACATCTGTTTGTGCCAGTGCAAGCATTTGTATGGCTGTATGTTGAATGAGATTGAGGAACAGGTCAGAATTAGAACTTGAAGCAAAAACCTACCAAACTAAACCCAGTTAGTTTTAATCTGGTTGAGTTCAGACTGAAACAGTCAAAAGAACAGCAACCTCAAAACCTCAGCTGGTGATTTTTATCTCTGGCAAGCTTACAGAGACAAGATTACACTGACTGATACTAAAAAGGTTTCTCTACACAATTATAAATTCTTGAAAGATAACTTTTGTTGAAAAATGAAAGCTGAAAGTGCAGCAAACCCCTCCTCTGTAGTATAGACATTGTGTTATGCCAGCCTGCAAATGTATGCCCCCTAAACATTGTGATGCAGAAAAATACATAAAACATCTTTGCTCTCTGCCTGCCTGACAGTGGTTTTCATTACTATTACAAAATACTATTACAAATAGTTTTTCTTGCAAAAGATCCTACTTTTTTGGATCCCATTTGTACTTTGGGATGCTGTCTGTCCCTCTATGCCACAGAATGAATGAGCATCTTGGTTAGACCCTTGGTGATGAAAATTGATACGGTCTTTTCAACTTAGAATCTGTTGCACAAATCAGACTATAGCGATAATCATCTGTTCTGCATCAGAGCACTCACAGCAGTAGTCAGAAACATGTAAACTCTGCACCACGTTCATCCTACCTAGCTTGAGGAACTTCAGCGAGATGCTTAGGCACGCCGTGCTGAACCAGCAGCGGAAGGAGCCAGATCTTCACATACTGCACGCCCTCTGGAGGTGCCTGCCTCTCTCCATTCACTAGAGAGAGAATACATGGGAACGGCTATCCGAATTTGGGCGCTCCAGTCAAATGCCTTTACTTATATGAGATACAGCCTTTGACTTTTTTAATACCCCGACCGCTTGTTAAATAAGTGCAACATTTTAGATGAGATATCAGTTGAGCTCAATGATCTTAAAGGTCTTTTCCAAGCAAAATGATTCTATACCTGCAGGTTTTCAACATTCACTTGCTTTTAACTAAGAGCAACATAAATAAAACATTAGCATTAACAAGTGATTAATTTGCCCATTTAATCTTAAAAGACCTTTACGATCAAAGGCTTGGTGTACTTCTGAAGCTGATGTTTGCCATTTAGGGCTGAGCTGGAAGACAGAATTGTCCTTAAGTGTCTTATTTTCTTAAACATCTCCCTGTGCAGTATATAGGTGAGTGCTTAGACCCCAGGCCAGGCCAGTGTAAGTAGCTACAATGCCCTGTAGAGCAGCAGCTCTTCATTTTGGGATCAGAAGTGGATCCACAACTTCTAGATTCTCATTTTGCCTTGGCTCAGGTCTCAGGCTCCCTTATATGTCACAGCAATTCTTCTAAACCCTTGAGGTCCCTTGGGAACCCTTCTTCTACGATTTTCCTCTCAATCTTTCCACTCAGTCTCTTTATTTCTTAAGAGAATTAAGAAATGTCTTAAGAGATTTCCCAGAAGGGCCCATAGGGAACCATGATCATTCATCACCTGAATGTGTACTGCCTGAGATATGCTTTGTGCGTCCTGTGGCTCAGAAAGATTTTGGTATGAAACCTCTAGGATCAAGAAAACTGGCCATCTCTGCAACATAGCTGTCTTGTATCTTGCCAGTGTTACAAGAAGTTAGTTTATTACAATAAAGCAAAAGGCTTGGTGAAAGCAAACTTGTCATCTGTACCTTTTGGTTTTCTTACCAAGTCCCTCCTGCCTGTGATTTTCTTGAGCTTTCTTCATGTGGTGGGATCTGCTGGCTTGGGATGGTTAAATTTCTGCAGGTGCTATGATTTCCAGAAAGATCTCTTCCAGGTGCACAGCTTCAGTGTAGCAGAGCCTGTGATGGGGACAGAGCCTTGGTTGGGAAGGAGGGCCGGGTTTATTTTTGTCTGCTGTGTTCCAGGGAGGAAAAAATGGAAATGATATTTTGCAACTTTTTTCCTTTCCTTCCGAAGGACTGCTTGGGTTCAGAAAATCAAAGCTGCTTCAGAACTTTACATAGAGACCGAAAAGAAGAAGAGGGAAAAGGCCTACTTAGGTACAGCATGGGATGTGGGGGTCTCATCTTCTGTGGGAAAGTCTGTGGGTGGGAAAATATACATTAATGACTCTTCTCTGTCCTCTTCTGTTTCACCATAGTTCGCTCACAAAGAGCAACAGGCATTGGGAGGTTGATGGTGAATATTGTTGAAGGCATTGAACTAAAACCTTGCAGGTCGCATGGTAAGTGCCTTGGGTTTTTCATAATATGCTCTAAGACAATGACATTTCTATTTGTCAGGCTAACTTTGAAGGAGGTTCTGTCAAAAACATGCTTTTGTTTAATGAAGTCATTTTAATGAACTTAAAAGATAAGGGAGTGATTTTGTGCAGTTCAGTAGCAGTCTTGCAGTTGTTCTGCATTAAGCATTTGTTTCAGACAGACTTACTTTCTACCACGTAAGCCATATCGTAAGAGATATAAGCCACAAAGTCCTGAAATGAAAAGCGGAAGGTGCTCAGCGCCTTGCAGAACTGTGTCCCTGTTCTTTATAATGGCAGTGAGGCCACAGTCTTTCCCCAGTGCATTGGCTGTAGGAGTAAAAGGATGTTTAGGAAGAAGATAATACACCTAAAAACGCGATTACTCTTTTATGTTTGTTTCCATCTTCCCAGGAAAGAGTAACCCATACTGTGAGGTGACGATGGGCTCTCAGTGCCACATTACCAAGACGATACAGGACACTCTCAACCCGAAGTGGAACTCCAACTGCCAGTTCTTTATCAAAGACCTCGAGCAGGACGTGCTCTGCATTACGGTGTTTGAGAGGGACCAGTTCTCCCCAGATGGTACGTAGAGGGGCTGCCACCCTTCCAAGGGTATTTTCAGATCTCCTGTTTTGAAGAGGTGCATGCCTGCTGAGGTCCTAGGACCAGAGAATGGTTTGGGTTGGAAGGGATCTTTAAAGATCGTCTAGTCCAACCCCGATATTGAACCCCTTTGCATATTGCATATTGGGAGCCTGCTCACCCTTATTCCCCAGTGAAGTCATGCTAGTATCAGTGGAAAAAGAATCAAGCTCTCTGGTTTTCTTTGGGTTTCCTTTCTTGGGCAACTTGACGACAACTAAAACGTGGTTTGCAATTCTGCCAAGTCTTTAGAAAACTTTGGATGCTCTTTGCAAATGGATAGAGTAATGCAAGAGGAAGAGAAATGTCTTCACGTTCCTGTAATATGCACTAACAGTTGGAAAAATGAACCCAAGATTTGTAACCCATTCTTATTTAATAACCTGGGGTAGACATATGGAGCATGGAAGAATGTAGTTTGGAGTCATAATCTCTCAGGAAGTATTTGGATAGGTCTGTCATTCATGTGGCCACTGCCAGCTGGCCCGTTGACCTCATCACTAGTGTGATGCACTCCTTGGCTCTATCATCTTGAGAGAGCTTCACACTCAGTTTGAACTGTGCAGTGGCCTTAGGCCTTTTTTCTAACGTATTGTAAAATAAATAAGCTACTGAAGCAAGGCCACTGTGACGTACGTAGTGGATTTTTCTGCTCATGAGACCATTTATTTTTAATGCTGCTGCTGTCTAACATGGTCCAGATAAAATCCTCTTTTATGCAGACAGACAACCTTTGGCCACCTTCCACTGCAAAAATATAGTTGGGCTGAAGGCTTGTTTTCTCCTTTTGTTGTGTATAGATGGAAGCTTAGTTCCTTCTGCAAATTAGCATTTTATTGCAAAGTAAATCAGTTGTGTCATTTCTGAGCATGCTGTCTTTTTGCATTTCAGACTTTTTGGGCAGAACAGAGATCCGTGTGGCAGACATTAAGAAGGATCAGGGTTCAAAGGGACCAGTTACAAAGTGTCTCCTTCTGCATGAAGTCCCAACAGGAGAGATAGTCGTCCGACTAGACCTGCAATTGTTCGATGAGCCTTAGAAGGAAAGGGACCAATGTTTTATTTCGGTCTGAGTTCACTGCAATAGGTGTCTCCAGAAGCTGTCACAAAATCCTTATTGGTGTGGTATGAAACTACTGCTTGCCCTTCACACGTAAGAGGGTTATCAAAGCAAACAGGAGCATCTTTGTGCCTTGATAATTCTCACTGAAAAATGAATCCCAATTTAGTGAGGAGATCTCCCTCGATTTCTCTACGTGGAACTTGAGGTTAGTTTCCTGGGTTTATGAAATAACCTAGTTGTTCATTGCGCTCCAGTCTGAAAGGCTGGCAAACCACATACATAGGTTGCTGTGCTTGCTCCAGTTACTCTACTCTTTAATTTACATGAAGAAGGCAAGGTTGGTATGTTTTGGAGGCTTTCTGCAGGGTTTTTCCCCTTAAGGAATTCTGTGCCTATTGCTCAGCAAAGTGGTGTGTAAATGTAATGTGAATGGAAGGAGCAGTTATGCGTTAAGAAGATCTTTGAAGATCTTCATGGTGGTACTGAAAAGACTTAGAAAATAAATAGTCTATATCTATAAACAGAGAAGAGTCTATTAACATACCACTTCATGACTCACATTGCCCCTGAAAATAAATTACGTACAGGCCTTCTGCACAGAGATGCATTGCACTCCGGAAGAGTCCACCCACTCGGTACCTTTGGAAGCTGCTGTTTTCTGTAGGACTGTAAATGTTTGAACAGTAAGCGAAGGATTAAACATAGAACCCTGCTGAATGTTGTGCTATACCACTTCGATACTGCTTTACTACCGCTGCTTGATTGTGTGACTGCAGATGGATGATTGGTCACCTGCGGCGGGGAAGAAAAAAATCCCGGCTCTAGCTCGGGAAGCCAATCTCTACCCCGCAGAGTCTCGTTTGCAAAGCAATCGGTGGTGACCAGTTATTAAATTGTATTGTGCCTAACTGCGTTTGACATCATGTTACTGCATTCAGGGCAGCAGCATACTGTAGCTCACGGAGGTGTTTGCGGCAAGCCGAGGTGATCGCAGGTTCGGTGGCAGCGATACTGGATGCGACCAGAGAGTGCTTGTGACGGTGCAGAGTGGGTAACCCCCAAGCAAAAGCCTTCCCCCAGTCATCTGGGGGAACGTCAGAGCTTATCTTTCCAGTTAACTGTCCGAATACACACGTATAGGCCCACATCCAGCAAACTTTCCCTGTTTGGCAAAGCACCCGGCTTTAAGCGCGCACTTACGTCTTGTTTCCCATAAGCACGTGCGTAAGTGCTTTGCTGAGTCTGGACTCGCGAGAGAATAGACCCCTAAGAGTAAAATTCCTCTTTGTTCTGCTTGGATTCATTTTGTTCATGACCTATCATGCATACACTGGTATTTTTGTAAGGACTTTATTTCCGAACGGGAGGTGTCAGCCTGTTTCATTAGCATGTGAATGTTCTTGTGGAGCCTGTTGTTAGGTTTTGGTGTTCCTTGCATGTCCTTTCAGTACTGGTTTCCACCTTTCCTGTATAGGCGGTGTTCTCTAGCACTACAAGTCTTATTGATTTCCATTAGGAAATTAGGATATATTCATAACGGATAGGTAGATACAGTATGGTAATAAGTGTAAACTGTGCTGGGAAGTGTCTGTGTATTATAATTTCCTAAAAGACCACTGTAATGTTTCAAGCAATGGGAAAAAAAATAATAATGTATGTTGGAGGGACAACAAAGTTTACATTTCATACTTTTCAGAATCGCTTTATTATTTATTTATTGAAGATAGTGTAGAATTTTGTATCAGAAATGACAGACATACTTATGTATTTTTTGAAACAAAACAGAGATACACACTTTAGTTAGAAACTTTCAACTGACCACATTTTAGAGGGAGTGTAACTTCCTAGGCATGCATTTGTTTACCACTGACTGGCTGAAAACACGATTAAGAGAACTTTAAGTTTCTATTTTTCAATGTTGTTAAGACAATTGTTTCAATTAAAATATGTAAATAGTACTAAACCCATGCTTTCCTAATTCCATATCAATACATTTTATTAAATATAATGTATATGAAAATACACTTTGTTGTGGTAGGATAAAAAAAAGTGATAAAATATATTAATGGAGTAACATTAAATGTCATTGTCTAACCTTTTATCGCTGTCCTAATTTTACTCAGTAGCTGTAAATACGGTGAACATTCATTTCAGTGTTTAAAAAGTAGCATCACTTTTTTATGGTATCATTTCACCAGCATGAATTACAGTAACAACTAAACAGACAAACAGGACAAAAAAAAAAAAAAAGGATGGCAGGTGTAATGCAGAAATCCTGGCTGGGTTTTCGAAGGGAGCCTCAAGGAGCTGCACCTTCCTCTGAGACTCAGCTGGCGTGGGAAGCGGGGGACCCTTAGCTGCAGGGGCTCCTCTCAGATTGTGCCCCTCATCACGCACCTGTACAACTGCGCCATTTTGGGGAATTGTAACAGAACCGAGCACCTTCCCGACCGCCGTCACTTGTGATTTCCCACTTACCCTCGATGCACAGCGATGTTTAACTCCCCTTAATGTCAATAGGAGTTACGCAAACATGATGATGATGAAGGGCTGGGGTTCGGCTTGCGGATATCTAATGAATCCCTCATAATCGGTCTAATCCTAAAGAGGAAGCTTGTCCTAATCCCCGTGCATCGAGGACAGAATGTAGATATTCCCTTGGAGCCAGCCGACTGTGCATCGCGATGTCGCTATTTTCTCACTCGCTCGCTCGCCCTCAGTGCCCGGTAGCACACTGGCGCTGCCGGCTTCCCAGATGGAACTGCTTTCACAGGCTTAGCCAAAAGTTCTTGGAAACCCATTGACTCCTGCCTGGTTTTCCCTGTTCAGGAATGCTACGGTCTTGCACGTCCCTTTGCATTAACTCCGCGGCTGTGCGCGCTGCACATTTCTGCTTTTTTTACCCGCCGTAGCTGCATAGACCTCCTGCTCATCCAGGACTTCGTGCTGTAAAAGCTCAGGCCTTTTACTGAAAAAAAAGAGACTCACTAGCTGTACTCCTACTAGTGCTTTCACAGAGAAAACGGCGAGCTCTCGTGGGCCTGTGTGAATGCCTGCTGTGCTCTGAAGAGTTTGGGGAAGGGAGAGGCACGCAGCAATACCTAGGAAGTTAGATATCCCTTCGTGTATTTAGCAAGTCAGCTGGCATTACCACAACATATGAAGGCCGAGCCATACGAGTGCCACGCGCTGGCTGTCAGGCCAGACTCTGCTAGTCTGTGCTACCCGTGTTGAATACATATATTTACGTAGACTCTATTTTTTCGGACGCTGGTTATTGATCTCTGAGTATCTCCGTAAAATAGCACACCTTATCTCGCCGGTCCCTTTCCAGCCCCATCAAGATGTGTGTACGCTTTTCCTAATGTTATGCAAAACAACCGCAACAAAAAAAAAATCAAAGCCCAGATAACACTCAGTCACATTTTGGATTGAAAGAGCAGATTCATGCCGATAAGCATCCCCGCTAAAACGCAGAGGTTGTAAACCCGTATATTGTGGAGTGCTGGGACTGGCTGTCTGCATTTGCTTTGGTAAAATTCATCCTTGTAGAGCGGCTGAGTACAAGGTGTCTCTGTTATCCTTAAAATGAGGCACTGGTGAGGTTGAACTGGTGCATGGGCCACTGGGACTGGCCCTCAAGATGGGGTTTCATTTCTACCTTTTAGCAGGCTCTACTTTTTTTGGAGAAGATGTTTTGCTTAGAAGTAATTCTTCGGCATCAAACTCCTTGTCTGGCAAGCAAGCCTTTCTAAAAATAATACTGTGACTTTTTAATGCTTTCACTGCCTTCCTTGAAATAGTGGTCTTGCTTTGGATAAACCGGGAGGAAAAAGCCCTAAGAGAAGAAAGAGCAAAATCTGCAGCTGTGAGAAAACACGCAATGGTAAATGTTGCACTGGTAGTTTGGTTTCCAAGCCGTAATCCTGGGAATTGCATTTTTCCCCTTAGGTACGTTAATTTTCACAAGGAGAATAGTGTTTCTCCCTAGTGCTTCCCTGGTTTGAAGTCTTGTAGTAGAACCAAGTTAATAGGTCAGAAACTGGAAGGGAACACCACTACTTTTCGAAATAAATTAAAATGACTTTTGAAAGATGCTGATGGCTGGGAACAAGCAGAATGTCAACGTTGTTGTGGCTGCACACAGGACAGGATGCCAAAGAGAAAAGAAAGGAATCTTTTTTCTTTTGTTTAGGTTTTTTTTGGGGGGATGGGGGGTGTGTGTGGGCATGGTTAGGTTAAGTCTCTCAGCAGAACTTCAATTATCCGGGACCCCAAGCATCCATAATATAACAACAGTGATTAATAACAAGCCATGTGTTTGCCCTCAGCCTGGGAGAGCCACACTGGATTTAGTGCAGCTCTCTCTTTATGCAGGCGTTTGCATGCACTTTTTTTATAGAAGTGGAGCTTTTCGGTGTTTGTAACAGCCCTTGTACTCCTCCGTGCAGGAATTACCTCTGGGTTGCTTAGGCACCGTGTTGTTCCAAGATGCTTTCACAGGGACTTCACAGGCTTGTAGGCATTGCTGTCAGGCTCTTTGCTTCCCTGGTGCCACACAGGCAGCTCCCACAACCCTCCAGGAGGCACAGGGGTACATGCCCCTTCCATATGGGAATCGGTTGCACCAGCATCAATGTGCCAATTTTCTGTCACTCTTGTTCCCCCAGCCTATAGTCACATAAGGTATTTGCTAGCAATGCCTTTATACATCAGCCGGGTGGATGTCTGGCCTTTCACCCATACCCCTCCCCATTTAGGACCTCTCCATCATTGCTCTGATTGCAATAAGAATCAGCCTGGTCTTGTCAATCTGCCTCGAGAGCGTTTTCTCGCTGTGGACAGGAGCTGGCCCTTCAGAGACACCTCTCAGGGAAACCACCTGAGCTCATTTTCCTCTGTGCTTGGTCAGATGTAGCTGGAAGTCATTATGTCCGGGGCAAGTTCAGCTCTCCCCCCTTTCAGGGGTCCAGCCCTCCACCTGAGTCTGCATCCATGTTGTCCTTCCCAGCAGTGCCAGGCTGGCAGCTGCCCACGCTGCGAGCCCGTAGCCTCCCGTTCGTTGCCATCAGGGTTCAGGCTCGTGTTTGAGATCAACCAGGTCCCCTCCTGGCCATGATTTTCCCCACCTGCTGAGCCTGTTGGCTCCCTCCAAGCCAAACAAGAGTTGTGTTGCACGAACAAACGCAGCGGGTGGTTGGAAAACACATCTCACCTCATCTCACTGCCTTGCTCTGTCGCAGTCCCACTAGGTTTTTCTTCTGTGTACGTCTTGTGAGTAAACTGGTGCTTCTGTCCTGCCATTAATTTAATCCTTTGGAAAGCATCACACTTTCCTTCCCTTTAACCCTGACTCCCAAAGCTCAGCTGTGTGAAACAGTGCTGGTTTAGGGACCTCTTCCCAGGCTTCTCTCTCACAGCTCATCTGCTGCAGCCCCGCAGCCCCTGGCTCAACGAAGCACTTCAGCAGCTGCTTGACTTCTTTAATTTGTGCCCCAATTCAGTGCAAAGGCATGCGT